TGTTCAAAGTGTTATTTAAAAGTTGTGTCAGTTCATTCAAGGCAAATTTAACGAAGTAAAACAAAGGGGCAGTTCAGTTTCACTACACTGTCATCTGAACTTGTCTTTTCAGTTACGTCAATTTTAAGTGAGTCTTTAGAAGATATGCTCATGAAAAAAGTTTGTTCTATTTTCTAAAAGTTAACAGACTTGATGTCAGGTTATTGAACTTCCAGAATGTGGGTTACCTTTATGATTAATCAGCCAGGAACACAACGTCCCGAAAAAGACGATCAGAGCTTGAATTCTTTCGTTTGAATATTCCAGGTCATGAAGCTCTATCCGGTGGTCTACGAAGAGTCCATGAATACGGTTCTGCGTCAGGAACTTATTCGCTTCAATGGTCTCACCTCGGCTGTTCGATCCACCCTGAAGGACCTCACTAGAGCCATTGATGGTTTCGTCGTAATGTCGTCTGACCTGGAAGACGTGTACAACAGTGTGCTAATTGGCAAGGTGCCAAGTGTATGGGCTGCAAAATCCTACCCCTCACTTAAACCCCTTGGCAGCTACATGGCCGACCTTATTATTCGGTAAGCACACCCTTGATGAGTACTAAACCAAAATCTGTCTCGGGCGTCGCTAGGTCTATAATTATTTGTTTTATTACGCTAATTATGTGCCATGAGTAGCTCTTCATTTTTATTTTATCTTTTTGGTTGACTGGCCATCAGAACAAGAAAGTTAAAATTGTTTCATTATATAAATGAAAACACATCCATTTTTAAATTTTATACTAGTGAACTATTTCGGTAGTGTATAAGCCGAAGGAGGAGAATTCTTGCTACCAAGACTGCACTCACTCCAACGGGTTCGGTGTAATGCTCTTAAAAATTAAAGGTTTTGAAGAAGATTGGTCCCTACTTAACTCATCTACTGTTTACGAGAACTCTATATAAGACAGGAATTTTAGAGCACGATCATTAAAAAAACCCGGTCCTCTCCCTCTATAATCATTGAAGACCTAGCAAACAGTTATGGCTGTAATAACAAAGCACCCACGAATTTTGCGCGAATGCACGAAAATTCGTACACGAATTCGTACGAATGACATTCCCGACGAGTTCGTTACGAAAATTCGTATCTCATTGTCATTTAGACAGCGGGACCCCTTGCTCTTTAAATACGCCCCCGGTTGCACGAAATACCATGTACCACTCTTCTGAAGTCTTTATAGGGTATTCTAAGACTTCATTATTCATGAAGACACTATTTGAGCCTTTAGACATACTTTCAAGTAAAAAACTGTTTATCTTTACTGGTTTTATGAATAATATGGAGTACAGTCTCGATTCGCATCACACATGATGCCAGTTATTCTAGCTTCATAACGTCGCAAGCTGTATTTCCGTTACATTCGCGAAACCTAATATTTATGTTTCCCATCAACTTTCGAAACTTGGTTTCTGTCGTTTATTATTCTTAGAAGTAATAAGTTATCTATATATCTTATATAATTTATTTTAAGAGAATTGTCTATTTGAAAGCAAATTACGATTCTGCGAATGATGCCAGTCCTATGATAAATGTCGTCAGATGCTTTGCCGCTGGAATTACTAAAACGTTGTCTTTACCCAAGTAACTAATTTGCAGGAGGAAAGTCATCAGACGACAACTTAATATATCAGTGAACTGTGAATAGGATTTCTGCCGAGAGAAATAGTTCATTTATCAAACGCTGGATTTCACGCCAAAGTAACTGATTGTGCACACTAATGGAGGATGAAGGCGTCAAAGATAAGCTCTATGCTTAATCATTCTTTCACGAGTGAAATCTATATAGCTGACTGAGGGCTATCGGAAGACAGTCACAGTGTATGAAGTAAATCGATGCTATGTTCCGTAACTGTCAAACAATCCTCGTATCCCCAGTTTCACGTCCTTCGGTCATGCAACGA